CTAAACAAGTAATACGATATTTTTGTCACGAACCTCAAAATCACTTAACCCTTTACAAACATTTTGTCAGAATCTGTCAATTATCTTTCTTCTCTTGCTTTAGATATAGTTTAGACAACGGTCCGATAGAATATTTGGACAAGATATAGGCTTATGTAGTCATGTTTCAATATTATTACTCGTATTACGTACCTTACTTACTAACTATATCTACTTATTGTACATACCTGTGTTTAATCGAAATAAAAGAAATGATAATATAAAAGTACGATAATCAATACTAATTGAGTCATGTTCCGACGAAACGGATATGTTTAACAAAAACGAATTGTTAAAATAAAATAAATCGATGCTAGTTGTGACTGTTATGTATTGTGTATAATTCATGTTAATACTCCATTTGAAACTTCGTGTATCTCCTAGAGCGCTATCTGCAGTCGGCAGTATGAGGACACACTTTAGCGCCTGTCATTGACGGATGCGGCTGCACCGTGATCGTTATAGGAATGGACATTCCATCAATAGCCGTGCGCTTTAACGAGTTTCGATGCTTCAGTGCTTCATTTTATTTTGAAATACAAGAGTATACTATTTTTGTTTATAGTTGTTTATAATACAAACGTATAACTTTAATTTAAAGAAAATTATTGTCTATCTTATGCATTTACGTATATTCTTATTTCTTATTTCATTTATGATGACAGCAAAAGAAACATATTTTGAATTCTCTTCATGTAAAAATGCTGTCCGACTTAAAAACCGTTTATATAATACCCGCGAGCTACGTCAAGGGGGTTCGTAGAAAAAGGTTAACTGTCACATTAATGCATGTGAATACCGTTATGTATCATCAAAAGACATGAAAAATGTGTATAAAATGACTTGAAAAATACGGAAAGTCTATTTTGTTTGACGCTTTTATAATGAATTTGAAAGAAAACTTATAACACGCAAAGCCATGTCTAGCCATATTATAACTTTGTAAATAAAAAAATGCATTTTATTATTTGTGTAATAAGTAAATACAAAGTAATGATTATAATATAAAGCTACACTAGTAGTAATGAAGTCAAAAGAGCCAGCTCATATTTACAGAACTAAAGATATTACGAATGTATACAACATGTAATAGTTATTTGAAATACGTAAGTAAGGAGTTCTTTACATTAAATAGATGGAGCAGTGGATTCTTGGCATTCAGGCCGTGCCAAACGGTCGAATCTTGGCAATGATATGCTGTCTGTTGTCTAGTAACCCACATTTAGTCATTTTGATACAAAAATGTACAAGTCATTCTAGTAGTCGATATACATATAACTAATACTAAATTAAATTAAACTGAAATAAAATTATTCGTGTCATATTGCTGTTATTTAAAGATGAATATATAAAAATCATCTAAATCTCATTTAGCGATCATGCTTTTTATTATACAGCGTATAACATATGACACTTCCTTTAACTAACCACTGAAACTGAATTTATCATAATTTACCAATTTTATTAACCGCCATGCACATTCTTCATGTAGTAATTAGTTCAGTAAAACCCTGTTAATGATTTCAAATGAAAGGTGTGATTATAAAAAATATAGAAGAAGAAAAAAAAAAATTCATAAGTAGAACTTTTCTATTTAAAACATGCTAAGAGACGCCATGTACACGGTAAGTTGACGAAGTCACTGTTTCTGTAAGTGTTTAAAAATTTAAACTTCCTGAGGACATACATCGTGAGGTTTCCCGATAAACATCCCCGGGCGTCAAGTAGTCCACCGCAACTCTTTGTTTATTTTCTACAGGCGTGATGTATTGCTCTGAGGTTAACAGCTATACAAATTCTGCAAAATAATACAGTGAATTTATTGAAAAAGTCTTATATATATATATTTATGTTCTAAATGAATAAAAGAAACGAAATATGTACGTATATTCCTCACTCTTCGACGTGTGTCTGTTACGGTTGATGGGCCTCTCAAATAAAATAAATGTTTACATAACTAAACTATTAAAAGGCTTTAAGACCTTTTTGAATTTCGTTACGTCTTAAATTTTTATTCTATACTTTTTCTTCATACTTCATATCGGCTACAAAATATGAAAGTCAATAATAAGTGATTTACTACTAATTTGAAGTACCTACAGAATAAATAACTCTAACAAGGAACAATCAGTGTGCTTTTTTCATATATAATTATTCCATCCACAAATAACATATTAATAGCTTTCCAATACGTTTATTTATATTTTCTTTTAGATTGATATAAAACTAAATATATAATTCCTTTTTTTATTATTGTTTGAAAAATTTTATCGCTGAATCTTTGAGGGCATATTTTTGAATTTATTTAATCCATTATATTATAACTTATTATTATATTTATGGTAATTTTGTTGTTGTTGAATTAATAGACTATTATTTTATGCTCTACTAGAGGCTTTTTATATCATATTTACGGGCCATATCTATATAAGCTTTCTATATTAAAATGGCACTAATTATTGAAAGGAGAATAAAATTTCATGCACTGGCTAATGAATATTACAAATGTTTGCTAGATTAAGACAGGACAGTTAAATGTTATCGTCGTCCCTGTAAAGAGGAAGCAAAGTGAGACAGCTAAAAAATATTATTACCATCAGTTCCTCGGAACAACATCAACTTGGACTCCTTCCAAGAGGGAGAAACGAGAAAATCGAAGTTAGATAATAAAAGCAAATTTTATTTTTGTTTACTCGTAAAACAAAACTGAAAAAAGTTTTGTTACAAGCTTATGTCACGCACCAGCGCGCGGAAGCCACTATCAGGTAAGTAGTTCAAAAACTTATTATACTTGAATTATAATATGTCCAAAAACGACATAAATTTCGTATTCATAATCAACTTTATTAACAAAATTTTTATATTTAAAAATTACTATGGATTCAATTGTAACTCAAATTTTGTTCTAAATTGTGTATTCCTGCGTGAAAAACCGAATATATTTCTGAAAGTTTTAAGTATTTAATATACCTACATTCACTAAATGTACTACACTACATGTTTTAAATATAATGGTTAAACTTACTTTCAATCATGTTTTACATTTAAAACGAAATATAAATATTTTAGTAATAAAATTTATTAATTAAATTTCTGAATTGATTGCACAGTTCAAGTATTACGAAAATAACATATAACCTGTAAATTCGTCATTCATGATAAAAATTTAGTAATAAATATCACTCACTATGTATTTCAAAATACAATATAAGTTAAAATACATATATAGAGAATTTTCGTTATGAAGAAGGTGACTTTTTTATTCATTCTACCAAATCTCATGTGTTACATTACGCTCCAAAAACTTAAAGTTATCCGATCATGTTGAAGTCACATACATAACTCAAACGCTAACTAGCATTTAAAGTGTAACTGTCGAAGTAACTCTGAAATGTTTGTAATAAGTTAGATACTAATTGGCACGAGTGGAAACTAGCGTCTAATTAAATACCTATCCCTTAAAAGTGATGAGTACAAAGATATAAAGGTTCACAAAATGTAAAACAGTTATATGAAATATCCGACTTATGTCCATGAAGATACTCGACTTTAAATTATAACGTTTTGTATATATAAATATCATGAATTCTACTTACTAGCTTTATCATAACATTACAATCCAAATTCCCACCGTATCCTAACAAGCATCGTCTGTCAATTTACCAAAATCTAGTTAAGTCAATTGGAGTTGAATAGAAAGGAGTTGAATTAAATTTTAAACATCACATAATTGAGTTTATAACACCCCATTTGTTTTTAAATATTGATTTTCTCTGTGAACCTCTTGCCAACAGAATGAATTTAATGACGTAAAATTTTACAAAATTCACATAGATGGAAATAGAAAGAGCTTATACCTAAAAAAGCCACAGAACTCCTGGAAACCTTTTCGAATAATAAAACTAAACCACTAGACTATTATGCTAAAGAACAAAAGTATTTTAAATGCACATATATTCTTAAATCATAGTAAAATACATAACTGACAAGTTCCTTACTATACCTCCATAATGTGTATACATATACATACATATAAGTATTCTATTTTTGCTTTATAGCAGTTTCCACATTTGTTTTAATACACACAGTGTAGTATAAAGCTTATTGACAAACGTTGAAGCAAAATACACAATCCCGCCTCTGTGTGCATCCAGTCTTTGAATATTGTATAACATTCTATGAAAGCTCCTTTACTTTTTTATGACAACCAAATACCTATTAACTGTCAATTGGTCTGTGATTCGCATAATTATATTTTCGAATAACTAATGCACATAATTATGTATTTGTAATTATCCTTTACTTTTTTTACTTACTATCTACTTTTTATTCAAATATTCCATCGTGGAACGCGAGGATGAGAGGTTTAAAGCACGTGGATTAACAACTATTTCTGTGAGTGAAAGACATTGAATTAACTGTAGCAGTTTAAACCTTTCGTTGTTTTAACTTGAAGTGATTCATCGAGCGGTTTCGTTATATTTGCGTATAAATTTAACATAATATGCACAAATAACTATATATTAATTAACTCTGCTTTCTAAATTATGATTGTTTTAAAATAATATCTCTTAAATATTTATACATCTGGTGGGTTGTTTCATTTAATTGTAGCGTTATCAATAGTTAAACCAACAGTCCATTGTATTGTAAAGTAATTTAAGGATGGACTGTAGGTACATAATATACAAAAACATTTAACTTTAATCACCCTATTATGGTCACTTAATATATAAGTACAAGAAACTATTAAATAGACTGTAGAAAGCTCTAATAATAATCAAGCATACCTATAATATAAATACATTCGCAAACTAATATCAATAAACGTTAACACTTAATAAAATACACCACACATAAATTTAATCTATTGTCAACAACGAGTACTCTCAAAATCTATTTTGTAAAAAATAACATTTTGTTCATCCTAAACGTTACAAGGAAGGATTTAGATAAAAACGATGTTCCTATTCATTTTTCTCGGTGAGCAAGTAAGTAAATCCCTGCGTTCAGGTGAACCTCTTGGCCTCAGTCGTGATATTGCAATTTTAAAATCTACGGATCTTGTAGGTAGCGTTTCAAACGACGAATAAAAAGGAGATATAAACACGTACATTTATATATATTAAAGTTTTATATCACTTGTTTAAATTCCATTTGTCGTAAAAATCATTTAAAAAATATTGCTAAACCTCGAAAACGAACATAATTTTTTTATTGAAAATTTGAAATTAAAACCAAAGCGTTACAAAACAGATAAGCATTATTAAACAATCCGGTACTCAAAGTATGAAGTCACACGTCTAGGAATCATGTGTTATACGAGAGCAACGCATATGAAAGGATTAATTTTAACGGTAGTAAACTAAATAAACGAACTGAGATATTCGATATACATACTTTTTACAGAATATTATATTGTTTATTAATTTAATTGATACTTTATTTATTAATTTAATTGATACTTTATTTACAGGTTCTTCTATCATGTGTTATTGCATTTCCAGCTGACGATGACGATAAGACTTGTTAGTAAATTTAATTTAACACTGGTTTCGTATGTATATCCTAAAATACGATAGTTACTTTCTTTAAAAATAAGTCTATAAATTGTTTATCTTTAAAATCGTAGCATATTTTATGTTATAACTTATCTTTCTGTAGTAAAACTCAAAATTGGATTCGATTTAACACCTGGAACAAATGGATCACCAACACTTCGAATACGAGATTTTGAAGGTATGAATAGAAGGATATCCTCTTGACAATTATGTAATAACAAAATGTAAATGTACAATAGGTATATGTAAAATAATATAAGATCGATTCTATTATTTCTTAACTTAAATGGTAAATGTAATAAAAAAAACTCTTTTAACTTATCTAATGCCTAAATACCTAAGTTATTTTTCGCGTTATCAGAAATATCAAATCTACGAAAAGTAAACAGTGGAAGAAAACCTCCAAAAAGATCTGTACGAGCGGAATACTCGAGTGATAGTGAAAATGATGATGGCAAAGATGGTGGAAAAGAAAAAACAGTCCCAGATTCTGACATGTCTGACGATGCCGAAACTTCAGGTATAACAATTAACAAAATATTTAAACTTATACATTTTATTTCAAATATCAGTAATTTTTTGGAAAAGTAATGATTTTTATTTATGATTTTGATTAGCTTCTGAAGACGACCGACGTCTGAGCACAAGAGGTTTAAATCCAGAAGATTTTGAACCTGAAGGTAAATTATGTTTGTGTTTAAAAAAGATTTTCAATCATTATTTAATGGCAAAAAAATCAATTACCTTTATTATCAAATTACAGATAATCCTAAAATTCATGGAAAGTATAAGGATGAAGATGATTCAGAGTGATAAAATCATAAGATTACTTCTTAATATATTGGCAATTAAAACTGAGAATTGTTGTCATTATTGACAGGTTTAAAATAACGATATATATAGTTTAAAAAAAACAGGAGATAATATAAATTTTACACCGTTTTAAGCCAGAAATATAATTGTCATAGAAAGTCATATTTTATTGAATGTAGTTTGGGTATCTATCCTATTAGAGTCTTCACTTATTGAAGAAAATTAAACTACTAACAGAGTTAAATAAGTACCTGTAGACTATAATAGATCTAAGAACTTACGGATTAATTAGGCACCAATGCACTCCTCAAGTGGCAACGGTTCAAAACTTATAATTGAATCTCCAATTCGTAATTGAATAGTCACAAGCAAATGAATGCGGAATTGAAGCAGCCATTCTTGCCGAATATAAAACATTCATTGAATTCAAATCTATTTCTTTTTGTCAACCTACATAATTACCATCCAATCTCAGTAAGCAGCTCCATATAAAATATACTTGATTTCATCGGGATATCTACTGGGTGGATGTTATTTGAAAAGTTTTGACTAAAAGTCTATTTTGATTCATCGTTTATTTTAATTTAGTTGATATCAGCAGTCAGTAGTTGTGTATGTTTTACTTTCTTAAAAACTTAGAATATATCATACACCTTGGTTTAAAGGAAAAATTGTATAGTATTTTTTTAAATCAGTATAACTGTACGTAATGAATTTCAAAGAAATCTTTATACGTTATTAAATTTCGGACTCGACACAGGGTTTAACATTTGTAGAAACTTAGAAAGTTATATAAATTAATATGTATAGCCTGAAATCATTATGAAAATGTAACAGTTATCCGTTATTATTGTACCTCCGAACTCATAAACTATAAAATTTATGACTGAAGTGGCCGAGTTGTTAGGAAATTTATATATTTCTATTATATTCTATACAATATGAGAAACATTAAAAAGGAACTTGTTAAATGTATATAAAAACTAAATTATATTTAGTTTTTTTATTCAAAACCAAAAGTGGTATCAATTACACACCAGAGTTTCACACATAACTTATTTTATAAGTAAGTAAATACAGTTAAGACATCGAATGTAAGAACCTAAAATAATAACAAACTTGAACCAAAAACGTGTATAGTTAAAACTACCTTAAACTTCGACCAAAAAGATATCAGGTTACTTTGATTTCAAACAAACCGGATCAAAAGTCCTCACCAACAAAAAAAAAATTGTTTTCACTTTTTTTATGCCCCAAAAGGGCAAACGAGTGACTGGCCTACTTTAAGGAAAGTAGTTACCGTTGCCCATGGATATCTGTAACATTAGTGGTGTTACGGATGTTTTTGGTAGCTGTGTTTTAGCAGGTCAAATATGTTTTAACCCGGCCCTTTTGAAAGCCCGGCGTCGTCGGGGTGGTCCTAATTGCCGGGATCGCCCCCATTCTCCGAGGGAGTAAGTCCGGTCTTTGCCAGGACCGGCCAGTCGCTGGTGTGCCCTGTCGCTGACAAATCCGGGGTACACCGACATAGCGGCCGATGGCTTTCGCAGTGGTTTTAGTGAGTAGGGGCCTGCCCAGGCCGAGCCTCACACATCCCTTCCGGCCCCACCAAGGTCGGTTGGACGGCTCGTAAAAAGAGTTTCCACTACGTCATCAAAAAAAAATATATGTTTGACAAGCTTTGTACTCAGCGAAAATTTTATAATCAGTTGGAAATCACATTTCAATTATAAAGAACACTGCAATACACATAGTACGACAAACATTCAGATTCAAAAAAACATTAATTGCATCAACGTAAAGCTCTTTCTTGAAATGTAGACATTTAACAAAAATTCTATATATTTTTTATTAAAGATACGTAAATTTCATTAGAAGTTTTATAAATAACACAAATGTTAATGAGACATCTATTTTAATTAAGGTTTTAAACATAAATCTTATTTTCAATCAAAATATAATTTTAGTACAATATGCATAATTAATATAATTATTGAGATTATATAAAGATTGTTAATATGGAAAACATTTGAATAATCATAAACTTATGTTTGTGTGTACTGTTTCGATTTAGACTATGAAAAAGGTAAAATTTTGACATTAGGCCGATTAATTTTCGCTTTGGCCAAATCCCAAACCAACAATATTACTGCCTATTGTAGGTAGATGTAGGGGTAGATATAAAACCTTTCACCGCGTTAACAAAAAAAGGTAGAAGAAATAATTTTTGGTGACTTAGAAACATGAATTTTAAAATACTTATTCTAATTTCACATATTCGTAAAAACAATAATCCTTGAAGGGTAAAATTCTATGATGAAATAAGAACTACTTTTTTATTTTAGTATTTTGCTATATTTCCCTTGCAGTCGTATGTATAAAATGATATTCTAGTGTTTTTTTCTTATATGACACGTTTTTATTAGAGTGAATCGAAATTAGAATATTTTTATTGAAAATAATAAATTCGTTAAAAAAATTAAATATAATTTTGTTTCCATAGTAAGTTCGAAGCTTTTAAATTGTTCTGTTGTAGGTTGCTTATTTTCAGATCAAACCTAGAATTTAAGTTCAAAACATGTGTCGGTAATTTAAAAATGTTAAATGTCAAACTCAATTGTTGTCAAAGTCAAAAGTTTATTTACGATAGAAAATGTTTCATTTATAAAGATTCATTACTTTAAAAGAATTATCTTCGTTGCTCTAAAATCCTTCTAATACTTGAAAGAAAATTAACAGAATGATGATTAGATAGAAATTATTGTACGTTAAATGTGGAAATGACAACTGTTTGTTTTGATCTGATAAGTCACAAAAAATATTTAAATAGTTACTAAATCTTTAAAAAATGGAAGGCGGTGAGTGGAGAAAAGACATAATAAATCAATTACAATCACGAAACAAACGTGAAACAAGTACATTTCAGGACATCATAGCGTTTCGTAAGTAAAAACATAACCAAACAAATAAATATATTTGTATTTACACATTATTATAGTTTACAAGTACAATCACACAATAAATTCTAATTAAACACATGTAACAAGACGGTCTAAACAAACAAATCATAGATTCTCACATGATAAGTAATAAAATCTGATAAGTTTTTATTGTTAAAGGGTAAAAATAACTGCAAACTTAAATAAAAATCACCAAGAATATGGAAAAAAAATATTGTTAATATTTTATTAATGTAATTACAGAAAGCAGACTCTTTGATAATGTTAGTACCCTGAAAAATGAAAATCTACAGTTGACATTGATGAATGAGAGAATGCGTTATTCTAACAATGAGAGTGTTTCAAGTGGAGGTTAGTATATTGTGGTTTGATGTTTTGTAATGTTCCATCAACATAAAAATATTTAACAAATTTATAGTTTAAGCTTCTATATATATAAAACTGTCTGAAACATAATTTGCATAACTTGTTACAAGTAACAAGACGATTCAAGTGTAGCCTAATAAGTTTATTATGTAAATTATGTTATGTGACAGGACTAGGAGCAGAATTATTTGTTTTGTATTTCTTTATCATTTGTTATGTATATGCAAGCACTAAAAAATATAGACTAGAGATCATAAGGAAGCTATAAACCTATATGTTATTAAATCTGCGATTGAATGCAAAAGTAAATTTATATTATATATAGTTTGAACTTGACAATAGAAATAGACTCATTTTTCATTACGGTATGAGTAACCATCTTTCAATACGATAAACTTTTTATGTAAAAGATAATGATAAAAATTTCAGGAAATCCTTCATTCGAGAAAATACAAGCTATGGAACAAAGGATTCTAGCACAACAGGAAGAATTGACATCATTGCATAGAACAAGAGGTGAAAATGCACAGGAGATAATAAACCTTAATGCAAGGGTACGGGAATTGGAAAAAAATTTACAGTCAAAGGATATATTGTAAGTTGAAACTAAAGTAAGCTAACTAAAAGATATAACTATTGATATCAATATTCTTTACAGTCCAACTTTACATTTGTGATAAGTGTAAATATGTTAATGGCAGTCACATGATGATTAAAACATTTTTAACACATTAGATATACTTAAATAAATATTCAACACATAAGATCTTATCTCATCTCACAAGGTTCAAGAATTTCTTATAATTTTCAAATATTCATGCTATTATTAAAATTAAGTCAGTGATCTTGTGATATTATAACACTTCAACATATCTTTTTAGTATAATTAAATAAATTTTATATATTTTCACATGATTTTCAAATAGAATTTCAGAAAATATGGCACTAATAGCTTCACTACGAGCTGAAATACAGATGTATGATACAAATATGAATGAACTACAAGGCTTGAATCAAATGTTGAGAGACGAGCATCAAGCACTGCAGATTGCATTTGCTTCGATAGAGGAGAAATTAAGGAAAGCTCAGGTAATATGCTACAAAATACTTAAGGTAGTGTTAGTATGATTAAATTTTAATACAGATACTTGAATATCATGCCATTTAAAACTTAAAATATAAAATTACGTTGATTGTTGAATTATAGCATTCTTTCAATTCATATGTAAGCAATAACATTTCTGGTTATTTAAAAATCAAATATTTATTTGACCTTTGACATCCTATCAATTAAGTCATTGGTTTATAAATAAATAATTAATATGTGGAACATTATCTTTTAGGATATATATTATTATTTATTATGAATTTATGACAAATAGTAGTAATTTAATATATTATTTGTTAAAAGTGTATTTCTTATATATATCCTATTATCATAGCCTTTAATTTTGTAAACAAAACATATGAAAATATTACAAAATTCGCATTTTCATAATTGGCTTCAATTATTAGTTATTTTAAACCTAAATGCGTAGACCTATTTCTGAGCATAGGTTATGACAAAACCTCTATAAAATGTGTTGCTATGCGAGATAAAAATATCGTTGGAATCACGGAACAGTATTGTTTATTTTGGAGATGTTCGCGGCATTATAATGTATGTTTAGGATAACAAAAGCTTCGCATCGTGATGTTATATTACTCTCCTACGTTTATATTTTCCACACTATTGGCACCCAATACAGCGCACTCTGGTACGCGTCTCACTCACTAAAACATAACGTACTAAAACAGACTATTCCACTGGAACTTCAATTTTTATTGCATCACTCAATCGTGGCAACCTGCCAAAATCATTGGCGGTTATGTCCATCATATTCAGCATGATTAAACTTTTGAACTGTTATTGTTAATAATAAAAAAATATTAAAAAAGACAATCTTACAATATATGTCTAAAATTCCGTTTTTAAAATATGTATACATTACTATAGGAATTTATTTGGAATAACCCTTGAACAATGTGCAGTAAATAATTATTTGGAATATAATTACCGAACTTCTAATTTATAAATTAACAAAAACGACATTCAAATTGACATACGCACTATCTTAATGTATAGTTTTTATTACACAATGCTTTTAACAAATGAACATTATTCCAATATTAATTCTATCAGCCTGTATATAATACACTTTATGATCCTCATGTGATTATCGCTATACGTTTATGTATGTCTTATGACATTAGATGGTCCAGTCGAAAATATATCATCGGGGTGTTTGCGTTTCCACAAAATTTGACTTGTAATATAAATGTGTAACCATTGTATTGGAAAATGCTTAGAAAGGTGATGCGAATAGTAAATAATAAATATATAAAATATTTTAAATAAATGCATTTCATAGTGTTCAATTGAATATTTGCAGGATGAAAACCGTTCCCTCGTCGAGAGACTCATTAAGTACAAAGCCAAAGATGCCGATAAAATGAATGAAGAGAATGAACACTTCCTAAAGTAAGAAATATAAGATATTACTTTATTTGGATAGTTTTAAGAATGCTCATAGATTGATATGAAATAGCAAAAAAGATTTTGCATGGTTTTAAGTAAATTTTCAAAAAGAAGATCAAATATTTGTGTTTTATATAGAAATGGTCTTAAAGTATGGCTTTATAGTTTGTAAACATTAATTGGTTGGGGTTAAGGTGTTTGTATTAATGATTTCAAACGAATGTTAAGTTTCACAATTAGTTCTATATTTTGCACCTATTTTTGTGATATTACCGAATACAACACACATTTAAATGTCTGGCTATTTAGTGAATGTTACCGCACCGCACTATAGTGTATTGCATTAGTTAAACCACCACCACGGATAAAGAAAATGTTTTATATCACACAGCTATATTGTTTTTTTTTTATAATAAAAGCTAGAGGTAAGATATGTTCGTATGCGCAGTTGCTTGCATATGTCCAAGATTTTGTTTGCTGCCTTTTTTTTAATTTTCTCAACAGGTCAAACAACCCTACTGCGTTTTTCATCAACACGTTTGGTAGAGTTAGTTTCGGGTGAGTGTGACATAATGAGCTCTTTGGTATGAAGGCATTGTGGCGTTAAAAGACATTTACTTCTTCATTATGGCCCATATATGTCTTAATTGCACTCTGAAACTGACTCATTACAATTTCTACCACATATCATTGTTTGAATATATATTTTTGAACTGTTTGCTTTATTTCTTTTGTTTCTTTTTTAAGTTTTTTTATCTATTACATTGTAATAGTGATATGGATTTGTTTATTATTAACATTGAATACAATCTAAAGGCACTTTTTGACACATTGTAATGACAGGTTTGGTGTGGTCTAACGGTTATGATTCCTTACTAATAATCATAAAAATATGGTGTAAACGGTTTTTATTATAATATAGAATTAGTTCTTGTAAAAGAAGGAAAAATATAAAAAGGGAAAAGCTGTATGGTGGGCTTTAAATAACAGTAATGTAATAATATAACATACAGTAATGTAATAACAGTAATGTGAATGACAATACCTATATTGGAATGTTAATATAACTTTAATCTAGTATATACATATATCATTTTTGCTCAAGAAATTTTGTGTTTCGACTTCACACTTTCAAAATAAATATATTATTGGTTTCACTCTATAAAGATTTCATTGGTACTTAAAGATGCTATTTTTTTTTTCTTTTATATTATATTGATGTAAAACCAAACAATGCAAAAAATAATAGAATAGTCATTTATAATTGTAATTACATTTAAAGAAACGGCCATTATATCATACATATGTTATTAATCATATGGATATACATTCATTAATAAGGATTGTAAAATGTCAGACATGTGTCAAAATTTTGCTGATTTGGATTGTTATTTTTGATATATTTGTAAAACATAAATTGCCAATGTACCTATATTTTTTTAATTATCTTAAAATTGGTACAATTTCGTAATATATATATGTATGAAACATATACATACCTTATATGCAAAATTTGGATTGTATAGTATATTTCTACAAATTATTTTGTACAAAATTTTAGGAAGAGAATGTTTTTTGTTATAGCATATTATGCATATTTATGAAGCGGTAACTGTCAGATTTACATGATATGTATATAATTTTTGGATATTGTGAGAGTACAACACTATCATTGTAAAAACTTGTATGGTGATTTTTTAACTCTAAATTATAAGTGGCACCTTTAAGTCCTCATTAAAAACTTAACTCATTGAATTGGTTTGGTTTGTTATTGAGTTTGTATATATAAACCTTATACAGTGTTGGTTTTCGATAATTTTAATTTTGCTATTCGCATGGTACATCCACACTGCATGGCATGCATGTGCAGTGCACGTTAATCACATAGTGTAAAGAGGTGAGCTAACATGGTAAACAGATGTATAATCCAGGTGCTGAAGAAAGAAGGTTATGGAATTCGGAGGGTAGTGGCATGTAGATAAGCTTCGTTGGAGACAAAAAAGGTTTCATATGTTTTTTATTCTAAATTTAAATGTTATCATTTTATTTTTCAGAAAAAAAAGTGACAAGGTTCGCAAAGAGTTAGAAGAAGCGGCTAGAGAAGGTTGCAGTCGAGGTAGTGACGGTTCTGGCGGTAGCGTTGATGATAAGATAATGGAATCGATGCCATACTACGCAACAACTTTACCCACTAAAGTTTTATCAAGTTTTGTAAGTATTGTGCTTATTGATTACTAGTGGTTTAGGCGTGAAAGCGTAACAGACAGACAGAGTTACTTTCGCATTTATAATATTAGTAGGGATTCCGTATCTTCAAAAAAACTACATCTGTATGTCGCGATTTTAATTCGGCTTAGTACGATAAGTATTTTACACAGTTTCGAATAATAACTTAATAGATAATAAAGAACTTCCCCCTCTTGGTACTTATTATTGGCAAGATGTTATGGATAATATAGCACTATACATATAAATACTCTATAGTATAAAATTTATTAAAATCCACTTCGCAGTACTTGAATAAAAGAAAAAATAACAAAGATGAATTCATAGAAATTAGCATCGCAGATATAGTTATTTAATATAGAATTGTACCAACAAGGTCTACTTTTAAGGACTCACAAATGGAAATCTGTCCTAAGTGTCAAAAAAGAATTAAGTGTGACCTTATTTTTGCTTCTTTCCATTTAAATCATTAAAATAAAAAACATCAATTAAATTATTTTGGCGGGATTTCAAATGCGTTATTAATTTGCTTTAATATAAATTTTATTTCGTGTATGTTTGATCACGGATTAATTAACAAGTTTAATTTATACAAATATTACAAAGAGTTTGTTTATTTTATGTGTTATTGAACTAAGTTAATCACCCTAAACTTATTATTTTATAATATTCAAGCTATTGCTCGAATATATTTACATATGTATACCTACCTCCATACCAAAATACTATTTATAGATGATAAATTGCAAATTATAATGAGATATAAAACTTTCACGAGTATTCTTTTAAATAATTCTATTATTTTTTTTGTTGGTTACTACGCGTTTTTTTGTAAGTTTAAACTACATACTCCCGATATTTTGGTTACTTTGCAGCAATCGTCATCACGGGTAGACGACATGAAAATGTTATTTTTATTTAAATTGTTTTTATTTCGTTACAAAGTGCATACCTGTTGAAAGGTTAATGGTTATAACTTAAAGTAATCTTAGTAAATGACATTAAATAAATTTTTGAGAGCAAAATTTTTTAAAATGAGGTTTTCGACACAAATAAATACTGGCTGTTATGTATAAGAAAATATGTTTTTTTGTTATTTTAGTTCTTAAACTCAGATTTTATTTAATCGTCGACCAGGTAGACTAAAGAATAAACATAATTTTTTAAATACATAATATGTTAATTTTCGAAAAATAATTGTATATCATTTTGCAGATATTTTTTAATTGTATCCGTTTTAGTCGGTAGTCAGCGAGCTAATTAAATATAGTATTGGCTAGACATTCTTTAGAAAACTGGTTAACAGCCTTCTTCAATATATATAGGAGTGTTAATTAAAAGACAGATTTAAACGTTTGACTCTTACTTAGAAACAAGTTTAATAAATACTTTCAGTATAAAAGATTTTATAAAATAAAAACATTATAGAAATAGGATAGGATATAAAATCGTTTGTTTTGTAGAGGTTTTATGTTTTTATGTGTAAAAAAAATATAACGTTCCGATAACACAAATTCTACATAAAATCGTCTCGACGGCCTTAAAGCCTGTTACCCTTTGCGTAACAAAAAAGTGCAACGTGAATGAAACAGTTAGTTAAGAACCAGTTAGTCTCGGGATGTAAGGGTTTTTTAGTTTTACTTTTGTGTCGTGATAGCCGGGTAGGTCGACGTTATTCATAAGTCGCTTGAATGAGATCAATCGCGAGGTCTTTGACCGACATGGAAATACATATATCCTTATTTTATTATTTTCAATGTTTCATACTATACGATATAGAAAAAGTAAAAACCAATTAGTTCAGATTAAATTTTCTGTCTAAAATGACTTTCTCATTACAATCTTAATTAAAAAGAAGTTTCCGAAAACAATTTCAATGTCAGATTTAAATTTTAAATTTCCCTTCATATACTTTTCCTAGTTACTTGAATAGTTGTCAGATATGCAGAAAGATAATTTTACGTTTTGTGAGGGAAGCTGGTGCAGGTTAAGAATTTAAACAATATCGAGTACATGATTCCAATTAAGATTGAAGTGTTATATAATTCTATTAATCTATTGGTATGCATTTACGTTTGTATAATAATAATGAGATAAATCTTTTGTTACTCATATATAAATAGTTCTTATTAGGAAAGTTATGATATGCATAGGATTTTTCTTTACTATAATTTTCTTCCTAAGCATTATTTAGTATAGTCGAGTAAACGTTTCGTTTAGCTACTTATTTTTTTGTTTATCGAGCTTCGAACAGGTAGATAATTCTTATTTATAAGTGGCGTCTAGTTTGTCTAGAAATACAGGTACATATTAGTGTTGAACGTCTAGTAAAACAATTAACTATTAACCGTCTTGACTCAGACACTATAAATAAAATATCATTTGAAGATAATCATATATTAAGCTTTCATTACAGTAACTTGTATAAGCTGCTTTATCATTTTATTTAAATTTCGACACAAATGCTCACTAAATACAATGTGTTAAATTTAAAAAACAAATATCAAAAGTGTGTGTATAAAATTACCTAAAAATATATTTATTTAACTTTTATTGACGATGTTCATGTTGAACTTAATTTACGAGGAATGATATTTAAATTGATTTTTATTTTATTTATCAAACAATTTTACGTGTATGTTTTGACTTTAACGATCACAAGCGCATTCCTTATTTAGAGGCACTATAAGTTATTTTATAAGCAGGATTCTTTTTCTGTTTGTCTTAGCTTTAAATTCGCTTGAAGTTTACACTTATGTAACCAGTACTCTATTATTTAAAGACAATTTATGTAATAATTCTCATGACTGTTTGATGCACTTTAGAATAAACTTTTTATATAACCACATATCGCTGAATGAATATAAATAATTTAATGGAAGTTCAGTAGTAGAAAAGATATGTTTGACATTTATGATATTTCTGACAAGTAATCTTTACGCATTGACGCTTTATATATGTGCGTTAAAGATACACCAATGTGTATAAGATTTATTTTAAGTATTTTTTTATATTTGTTGTTAAAAATGTCTTTATGAACTTCTTATAAACTATGATATTTTTCAAAATTCCATTTTCATTCGGTCGCTTAATTCTTTTAAAAAAAGGAAACAAAGTTATCGCGTTGCGTAATATTTATCGTAATGTATGTAAGAGTTTTTTTTAGTTTGATCTCTTTTAAAGTCCTAAGATTCTGATGATATGACGTGACGAGACCTGATGTATTGTGATGTTGTGATACAAGTTATCGTTTCACCCAGGACGCTCATGACGGTGAGGTGAATGCCGTCAAGTGGAGTCCTACTGACCGCTTAGTGGCAACGGGTGGGGCGGATAGGAAAGTTAAATTATGGGATGTCTCTAAAAGTAAGTACAATTCGCAGATGTAAGGACACATGTATCGATTTTTCAATGTCAAATAGCGAAGATCGCAGATGTATGATTGCTAATATTTATTGTATAGAGGTTTTATATAACCATAAATTGTTTACATGTTTATGTATCGGTTTCTAGTATAATGCGTATTCGTTATAACAGTCATATATTTGGTATATACTAAAGTTTATTCATAGCCGATGAATATATTATTTAAGGTAACTATAAATTTCGATGATACAACAATAGTACCAACATTCATTGAAGAATTTTAATACTGATCATTTATTTCTATTTATTTTCTTTATAAATAAATTTACGTTTATTTTATTTGTCTTGTATACGATTTATGTTGAATGCTGTATAAGTAAGTGATTTTGTAATGATTCTAGTGGGTCTGGTAGAAAGCAAGGGTGCGTTGGTGGGTTCGAATGCTGGTGTGATGTCTGTTGATTTTGATGCTACCGGCGTCTACATAGTTGGAGCTTCAAATGACTTCGCAAGTCGCGTTTGGACTGTTGGAGATCAACGGCTAAGGGTCAGTTGTTATACAAATCAAATATTTGATAATTATATATAAATATTAATTTTTTTTAGTACTCTTTATAACTTTTTCGCAATCTTGTTATGTTTTTTATGTCTTAGCAATTTTCCATGTCAATAAATTATTCAAGTGATGCTTATTATTAAGTAGTTCAAAAGGATTTTTGTAATAATAATATTTTAGTTCGAAAGCAATGAATTTAAAATTAAGATTAGAAATGTTTGCTATAAGAATATTTAGAGGCTTTAATTTAAGATAGCGACGTCATAGTTTATCCCTTAAGGAAATTGGTGTTAAATCTATATCATGCATACATATTTTGTATTGTATTCAAATGAATTAATCAATACAAATATAAAAACTACATTTTATAGATGTAATGGAAATTAAAAAAAGAAAGTTCAGGATCCGTCTAACCATAAGTTTAAATTATTTTATCAATTGAAGAGAAGCGTTTATAAACCAAAAAAATATCAACATTTTGGATTGATATGAACTTGTAATAAAGCACTAAGACGTACATAAAAACCAAAAAGTTACACACAAAATAATCATTATAATATTAGCATAAAACTCTTTCGTACCCGCTTCAAAGGTGACATTTTAATTGAAATTTTCAATTCGTAAAATACTTATGGTCTGAAATGCGTCACTTAATCAAAATTACGTATATATTTTTTTCTTTTTGGATTTTTGACAAGCCAAAATAAATTCTGATTTATTTATATACAAAATATTTTCAAAGTCACTTGATAGTGGAAAGTAAGGACATAATATGACGGTATTTGAAAAAAAATATTCCTAAATAACTCGACGATAAGTTATAAAAGAAACATATATACCAAAATCAATAACGATATGTATGTTGAGAGTTATAAAGAACTTAGTTGTGCCCGGGTCTCCTAACATGTAATATTTGCTTAGGGCGTCATTAATATATCTGTTTTTCTCTGAGACTGTAAAAGAGTCGACAACTTAAATGACTACATACAGATTATTCGGATATAATCGGATAATTCGGGTGTCAGAATGTGTATACACAAACACACACTCACACAGATATGTGTGTATGTATGTATGGATTCTATTCTGGTACACAAACTACCCTAAGCGGTTTGTTAGTTAGTTCGTGATCATTTTGCTTAACTTCCGAGAATACACTAGTTTTTGTTGTTAGTACTGAAACATACTCGTACTGCTCCCCCAAGACGTCCCATTACCACAGAGGTTACAATTGAATGAAGACAATGATATATATTATTCCTTTCGAAACTTTTAAAGTACTAAAGGTTTATTTTTAATTTAAGCTGCCTAAGGAAATTAATTTATGATTGAAACGTGAAAATTTTGAATTATTTTAATAAAAATTCATTAAAATATAGGAAATGTTGTGTGGACGATCATTATATTCCTATATTAAATCCTCCCAAGCTAACAAAGTCTGTTTCAAATGATAGGATTTCAATCATTCGCAACAATGAATAAATAAATTTTAAACAGCATCGGAGACCATTCGTCAATGTGGATAGCGAATCAAGCAAATAACTATAATATAAGTTTGACGGATAGTTCTTTGAGAGAATCATAGGTACTCAACCTACCTGTTTGATACCTGTTCCACAAATAAGGAAATGTCAGTCTGATGCTGGCTAATGATGACCCGGTTGAATAACTGTGATATATGAATACTTATTAATCCTTATCTTAAATCAATAAGTAGATTTTAAATTATTTTTTAACATTATTCTTAATAAATCGTAATATTAATATTTTTTTTGCGATACCATTAACTAACAAACATGCATATGAAACAAAACCGGTGAATTAATCATTCAAATTCCATAAAAAAAATAATATTAATTTAGGTTTAAAAAAGAAAAGCAAATTTCTATTGTATTTGTAGTTTTAAAACCAATAAATTCGAAACCAAAATAAGGCAACCTAATTGATGGGAAACAAGCCAGTCTGTTTTCGCACCATAATCTACGTTACAACGAAGGCACCCCGCAATCCTGATGCAAATGCGTGCACGAATTGCAATACGAATGTCAGATATAGAGTAATGGTCACAAGGATGAAATAAAATCGTTTATAAAGACATGCAATTCCGATTTACTTAAAACCAGCTACAGAAGATATAATCAATTATATAGATCCACGTGTCGCATAGTAATTTTCGTCATTACTCTGCTACCGTCTTTATTTTCCGTCGGGATTGATAATAATTTATACATACATTGTGTTATAAGTAACATTAGTACACTAAGCAAATACCTCTCATCATCTCAGTGTGTAATCATGCACCCAGAACGTACGTAAGTAATTTTCTGCATGGTATGCATTGATTTGATACTGTCAAAAAGTTAATCAAATCCTGTTATTATTACCGAACAGATATAATTTATATCCACGCGGGATATTAACGCAAAATATTTATTTAAATTATTCGTGGAATATAAAATTAATTTCATGCATAATTTTTTCATAATAAGATTTTCGACATATGTACATGTGTGTTTACATATATAGGTATGGGTAAACAACTCGTATGTGTTTACATACTTCGATAAATTTTAATCTTTTTTAGTTTACCATGCCGATTGGTTAAGTGGGTGTAATAGAAAAATTATATAATATAAATCATTAAGCACAATTTTCTTATATAAGAACGGAAAGTATTGAGACTGGATACATGGTAAATATTGTAGAACCGATTATGCGAAGGCATGCAAGTTAACTATAAATTTATCTCAGTCATGTTTTAAAGATACAATAGCATACGATTCTTTTATTAGATAATCATTATTTTCGTTACATGATTTAAAATATTGTTTATATTTAGACAACGTCTATATGAACTTTAAAGTATGTATAATAAAGTAAAGTATGTATTTTTCGTGACTTGGAGTATATTAAAAATTTATTATTTATTATATGTCTTTACGTGTTTAAATGTGTTCCTTTGGTTTAAATTTGTTTGGAAATGTTTGTTATATAGGTAATGGTGTTAGGAACAATAATTAATTAAACCGACATTATAATAATGATTAACTAGTCTTCGCATAGAAGCAAAAAAATATAAAGCAAATTTTCTTGATTTTATTTTAATCTTGTTCATACTTTAGTTTTCTTTATACGCTGTCGAATTTCTATTAAATAAGTTGTTTATTATAACGTGATTATGATATACATATCTGCATACTTAATTAGTCCTTAAAGTAACTACTAAATTAAATTTTACTGGATGCTTCCCACAGCTTGAGACCGCCCGCGGACCCGGATGTTCTCTGTCTGACAATATATAGAATAGTCCATAAATAATATTAATATGTACCTAAGTTATATATATACTAGGCTCTACCCGTGGCCTCGTTCGCACGGAATAGTTTTTTATAATTACATTTATAAATAAAAAAATATTTATAACATATCAGTAGCATAAATTCATCATTGTATCAGCTATCTGACAGTTTGAGTCCAGTCAAATTACCAGCCGTTTAGAGATTGATATGTAGACAAAAAGATAAAAAAATATAAAAAAACAAGGTTTGCTACACGTAGATCCATTTAGTAAAAATATTGTTTAGTAGACAATTCAATTTTATAGATGAAAAAGGATTTTTTATATTAATCAGCAAAATTAGTTAATTACTACAATTTTTCTGAGTTGAATTAATAAATAGTTATGCAATATGTATCTCAAATAAAAGTAAATTAAAAATATCTGTTTCTTAAGACATTCATTATTTAATGGAACATTTTCTATTTATAATCATTCTTATAAGAGATAAAAGAATAACAAAGGCAAATTACCGATGTCATAAACAATAGTGAGATATGTAACCCACCAGCGTGCAATGGAGCCGTATGGTATTTACCAGATGTTTTATAAACATTAAATCTATAGTAATATTTTATTTTCGTGGCCGAGCCGAGCTTAGATACTATCTAATAATTCGTTCAATAGAATTAAAACAAGATATCGAAGCGAGGCGCCCTTAATCAAGCGCAAGATCTTTATAAACCAGCACTCGATGGTTGTGTACGATGGGTACAACGGTGCAGCAGGCGATGTTTTATGGGAAACTCCTTAGCATATAGTTATTTAAATGTAACTAAAAGTTAGTTACAATTTCTATAGCGTTTAACATCTGTTATAGTTTATTTTATTATATATACTTATTTATATATGTATACGTAGTAAGTGAGACTGTTATATGAACATCTCAAGCTATTGTAAACGACTTTATCGGTAACGAAAATGGTCTCATAGCCTTACTATAGTAATCTCGAATGATTACCTATTCCTTGAAGATTGGCGATCAGGAGATCTACCGAGTGCAGCCTAGCCAAAGAACTGAGTATAATCTATAGAATATCTTTTTAAGAATTTCACGTTGAGTTATTTACTCGCGGCTAGTAATAATCTCGATCTGAAAGCGCGAGTTAGATTCCAAGCGCCGTTTTGCTAATGGTTGTTGTCAGATCGGCACGTGTCTACGGTCGCGTGCCGCTGTCGCTTGCACACAACGATCTAATCTCGGGCACGAATGCCGACGTGAGGTGTGCCCCTTCACACGTGATTGTTCCAAGCAAACCAACTTAGAGATCACATCTCCTTGATGCGTGCCATTTTAAGACTGGTCGAACTGGTCGAATCATCTGACCATTTTTGTGCAAGCTTACGCATTCTTTTGAAATATGTGGGAAGGTTCTCGGTTTTTTTTAGTAGAGCGCTCTTAATCTTGTGATATTTTATTTGAAATTCCTGCGGAGATGCTGTTCTTTTCTTATTTTTTTATGCCTTCGCTTTTATAGATTATTTTTAGTTTATAGGAGGTGTTTATTACTTTTTATTGGACATTTTTTATTGAGTGTATACAACGGAGACCAGATTATAAAAAATATAATACCCACCATAATGTTATTAGAATGTCATGTCATATTGTATTTTAAATTATTGTCTATAAATAATTTGAACATATGCCACTATGTGCCTATTTCTATAAGGTTTAGGTTCCAGTATCCGATTTTATGTTCCTGGCGTCTTTTTATGTTAAAGAAATGTAAATTATTATTTTGTGAGTTCCCATTTGAAACCTTATACATACTTTATAGGAGCGTATTTCAGTTATTTTTAATAACTTTTACAAGGTCCACTGACGTCGCGTTATCCCGCAATAGTGACCGTCAGGTTACTGAATATATGAGATAAGACATGCATAAAACATACCGAGAGCGTTAAATTTATTTGCAAACTCATAAAATTACAAGGCAGGTTAAGATGTCTGAGTTTGTCGTGTCTATATTGACACGTAATATAACATTCTTCCGGTAAGATAAATATAATGAAGTTTTAGAAGTGGCTTAACAAAAGCTATTATTGTATTTTCTACTATAAGCTTTGAAGTAGGTTCCATAAATAAAAAAAATATATAATAGTATACATGATGATGAGCATAATATGAGAGATATTGTTAATATTAATAGCTGTAATAGTTTCTTATAAATAGAACTTTAAGTGATATGTATATTACAGTATACAGTTGACATTATGGCAGGTTCTTGCTATTTTTTTGGGAGTATTTTAAGACAATGTCACTACAATCGTTGATAAAAAAAAAAAACAAAACAGAAATACTTTTTTTACTTTATTGCAGGTAATTGGCAATTTGGACGGATTAAATTAGTTAATATAAAAGTTTACTAACACATACATTATAAGGCACTAGCTCAATATTATAGTTTCAATAGACGTAGCAAATTTTAGTCATAAGCATCTATTTTTAATTAAGAATTTATATATTTAATTCGTACTCAAAACATAAATTACACAAAAATAATTATTCTAAAATCTAAATCAATAAATTACGATTCGGGATGGTCGTAATATTTAGTTGATTGACTTAGGTCGCAAAATCTGTAGTCTACTTTAAAGGTACGAAATATTCGATTTCCTCTTATCACTATTAATTATTCCGGCTTAAACTAAATTATGGTACAATACGCGGACGAAGACGCGTATAGTAAAAGCGACTTGATCACGACCAAACCCGATTTGACTACGGAGACGGGGACAAGCGAGTTACACTCAAAGCTCACAACACTCACTCTAAAGTCAAACACAAATGACTTAATATCGATCATTCATCCGCATTCGATCACGCTCCTTGTCGTCCCCGCCTCCGAGTCCATGCCTTCGACAAAGTTGTAATAGCTATAGATTGAAATCTCAGGCTAAAACCACTACTACGCTACTATTGCTTCATACTGAATCTAAACTAATCAGAAGTGCCTCTGGGCGCGGGAGAAACCGGCATCATAGACTTTGCAGAGTGAATTAGGGTTTGGTCCAGGCAGGAGCTCAGCTTTAGCAGCTGCTCGTCGGCGCTGCCAACTGCAGGTCCATGCAGCCAATACTACTAACTGTACAGCAATGAATGCCGCTCCAGCCAATAAAGCACCAGCAGCATTAACACACGTACCATCACTCTCTCTGATATAAACGCTATCTTCGGTGACGTTCTTTGCTTTCTGTTTGTCGAAACCAAACTTGTCGGTGATTTGAATAGTTTGGACGAGAAGCATATCGTCAGTGGGAGTTGTCGAACGCCTCTTCCTACGTCCATATGATGAAACTGTGCGCAATTCATTTGGACCTCCGTCACATTGAACGGGTTCGCAAGTTGGCATACAGGGTGTCACCAAAGCACGGAATTGTACTACTTCTGATGATGGGAACTTGAACGCATCAAAGTGTGAAAGTAGAGTCTGAAAGCAAATAAAATATTTAATATGACGATACAAATAATACTAGTTTCGGTGGTTCTAATTAATTTTGTTTTGGGTTGGCACGTTTAACATTCAAAAGAATTTCTTAATTACCTTTCCGCTTGCAGTAGATTTATAGAGAGGTCCCATGATAAAGTGATCAGTAGGGCAACCATAGCTATCGATGAGAGTAATTTCACTGGAGTCGACTCCATCCATAGCGACAAGTTCTCGAACAAAGATTTCGAATGGTGAGTTTTGATCCATGATTTCGAAACGAAGTGCCTAGAAACATAATTTTATTTTAGTTAAAATTATTTTATAGTTGCTGTCAATAATATGGTTTTCTAAACGATTACTTACCAATGGATCTCCAACTTCAGCAGAGACAATAGTGTCGTCTCCACTTCTATCAGTAATTCTCATGGCTACGTTGGGTGAGTCCACAATAACTTCCTCTGTTAATCCTGTCTGGATCTCACCCTGAATTCCAAGGTCGACTTCATTAGCTACTGTCTTGTTGGTCAAGTCATATTGACAAGTTACCGCTAAACCAAGATCAGACGAAGTAACGATGGTGTCGTGATGTTGAATAACGACGTCATTCAGGTATCTAAGAACAACACAAACATAAATTTTTACTTCTAAAATTTTAATATTTTTATTTTTATAGTATTACTGTTGCAAGGTAAAAATATCAAAAATAAAACATATATTGTGTCAAGTTTTTACCTTCCAAGTCCATTTTGCTTAACATTGCAATCGATATTATTATATTCCATATGAAGTTCGAATTCGAGACTTTGTTTAACATCGACAACGCATGAATTGGGACTTCCCTTTGCATAAATCTTGCCATCGAACAATTTAGATGTCTGAATTCGAGCTACCATGTCACCTGCTCGACAGTCAATGGATACATTGTAGCACGAAGAAAGTTCATAAGTTGCAGCTTCGGGTACTTCCAAGTAGGGATCCTGGGAATAAAAATCAGAATAAGAACTTATTTCTATAAACGTTGTCGGTTAATATTACAATAGTAATTTACCTGGATATCAGCGAGCGTGGCTTTTGAATGGTGGGAAAGACGGCACACATGATCTCCCGTGTCCCCGTGATCATAAGAATGGCAACGGAAAGGCGAGTTGAGACACAATTCACGACATTCTTCGATAGTTTGAACATCCTGATACACTGAGTCCACCGTCTTGAGAATGCGTCCGTTCATCTTTTTAAACTCGCATAACTTTGTTGGCTCCTCCACACAATTGTTCTCCAAGTAGTCAACATCTTAAATTGTTATTTTATTAAACTCATATCTTTTATAGTATGTATAGGTAGATAATTTAAAAACAGTAGATCTTTACCCTCGTTTGGTTGGAAAGCGCTGGTGCCAGCTAAAGTGATACGATCCATGTTCGACAGAACGCATTCACCTGTTTTGTTGTTATAGTTCGCCGATCTGAAACAATGAGATTTTCAATGAATGCTTCTTCATGTGAATTTTCTCAAGATTAACCGACTAATCGCAACACTAAGTTTTTAGATCGCGTCTTAATATTCTAGTTCATTTCATATTTATTGTATAATAAAGACGACATTCTTATAAGAAAGTTATTAATAATAATTATTATTGTTATTAAATAACATTTTATAACTGTAAAATGAGAAATATTTTTGATCGCTTTGCGAAGAAATAAAGCAATTGTATATACGCAGCCCTTTTATTGCCAGCGTACAGACATTGCTGTGTTCGTTTGACCCCAGGTCCTTTATAACTTTATAGTGACCACCCGGACAAGGACAATATTATCTGTGTTCATCTCGATCAATATTTTCTCTTGATTTACAATCGATCTTAATCATTATGACCTTTGTGCCTAGGAGAATATTTTATAGATTTTATATGCATAATACTATTATTTATTATATGAAAATTAAAAAATCTATTTAAACACATATATTTTAAAATAAACATATATTATGACAAACGAAATGTTTACACTGGTGCCATCAAACTACATCTTCATTTAGAATGCTAAATCAACTCAATTATATTCAGTAGTAAAACGGACATAAATATAAAAGTTATTATTGTAATACTTATAAATTCATCTTTGATTTTCACCGCACTTAGGTAGAGCTTTAGCTGAAAGATCAATATGATCTTTAATTATTTAATTTATGTCTAGATAAACAGTAAAACCAAACATAAACACAGTGTTTCATATTATTAAAGATCTTTCTAAATACAACTTAATAGAGAATAAATAACTATTTTCCTGTCTGACTTACAGATGACACTAACAACAATATTTCATGATTTATTGCAACATCCGAGGTTACAATATTATTATCTTTTGTCGGGGCATCTATGGTGGTCGCAGTACGAGCAAAGAATAGACAATAATTCAATTACTATATATTTATATTAACATCCTGAACTCTCATGAACTTAAAGATTAGAGATACAAAACCAAAACTAGCGTCAAGTTAAATGTACATCAGATAAATATTAAACCTATCTGGTAATTGACGTAGTACTATGTGGTTTTAAGCAAAGAAACACGACGGTGACATTTAGGGACAGGTTTCTCATTGGATTTATAGACTTTCAATGGGTCTCGAAGAGCAATGTGTGCCTTATCGGTTATTGTATCGTGAAAGTAGGAAGCGATAGGGCAGCTCGCTCCCACACCGCGCATCGCCACGTCCGCGGAATATTTGCCAAATGTCGTGACTGTTAGAGATCGCTATTTGCGCCGCCCGGGGGTAAGCACCCGCTTCAATGAAGATACCATTTCTATCCAACGGTACGCCTTTCAAAACGATGAACCGATCCTTGCGTTCGTTAATCTAAATGGCCCGGTGTTAATTGAATCCGTTTATTAAAAAAATGGATTAATTACAAAATATAAATAATTATTTAAAAATGTATATTATTGAAGTTATAAAATATTAAGGATATTGAAATAATTAGGGATTTTTAAATCATTTGTATAACAAAACAGGGACCATAAAAAGGATAATGTTAATGATATCAGACATGATAGGAAATAAACACAATAAGGCAGTCGTGTCTTGTTACGCTAGACGTCGGGATTAGTACTTTGGCTTCCAATTGACTTTCCGGCTTTGTACATAATGTCATGTCTAGAAAATGCTACCAGGATTTATTCGTTATTATTTAACCACATAAATACTTTGAATGTCGTGTTTTTTGAGTACTTAGAAGGAATAATGATTCGATGGTTGGATTAATTGGACATTACAAACTCCTTTCATCAGCCGACTAATTAGGAATCTCACAAAGAAATTGTATCGTTTTAACATAGCTATTTATCTTTCTTAGAATCTTTAGAATTTCTTGTTAATAATTATTATTGCAAATTTTTTATTGCACCAACAAAAACATCGGAACAGAAAGGAAGTTTTTAATTAAAGCTATATTAAAAATGAAAGGAAATGTTTAGATATGCATGAATGTCAGATTTTATGTGATGACTCGTAAAGCATTTGCCACAAAAAGCATTCAATTGTATTCAATGCGGGGAATGAGTAAATTGTTAGTTACCATAGGTAGTTCCACCTCATTGCGTATATTGAATGTGTTATGGTTACCATAATTACCTCCTATTTGCCATTTCTTAACCTAAAGTACGTTTTATTATTGCTCATTGTATGTTTTGTACTCATTCAAATTTATAACTAAAATTACATCATCTTTAAATAACTATTATATAAATTGAATTAAACCCGCGTATATAAATTACGATGTATTAAAACCAAGAATCATGATATTTGTGTTCTTATCGAACAATAAATTACACTCCACGAATGAAGATTATATTATGACCTTTTCATATATTGCATTTGCATTCTCTTGTACAACCGAACACTATTTCTATGAGGTACTACTTCCCTCTATTGTGGTAGGAAAAATAAACACTTCGTGACCAATTCAATATCCGTGTTCTCTGTTAATTATAATATATTTAAACGCCGAAGGTAGATTATAGCACTTCGTTATTAATGTTTTGTCTTTGAAATGTAAATACGGGCCATTTTAACAATATAGGTGAGTTCATAGTCAATTCTATAAAATATAATGCTTCAGGGACTCACCTGCAAACGAATTCATTTTCTCCTAGACAAAGATCGAGGCACATTTGTCTGGATTCAACGGAATGCGTTCTCTTGCCGAATCCCTTGAGATTGTATCCGCGGACTCGGTCGAAGCACCAAGCTCGTTCGCACGGCTTCACTCCCAAACACGATTTCTGAGCGTAGATCGTGAATACCGGAAACTGGGACTTTGTCAAAGCTCCTATAAAAATATATATCTTCATTGTAGACAATCATAATTTTTTTATGTTTACATTGTGGACACACTCTTTTTATACATTTCGATGGACAAAATAGTTTAATTTTTTTAAATTCGCATGTTATACTTCAAAATAAATTATAAATAATGAGAAAGTTAACAATATAACAAAAAGGAAAAAAAGTCTATAATTATGTGAAAATATATTACATGCTATAAATAACGGTGTTTTATAAATGATATATGATTACGGCGGTTCCGCGTACTACATTGTTGCATTTTAATAAACGTACCTGGCAGTTGGTCGGCGTCAGAGCTGAAGAGCACGCACAGACCAGTTTCGTAGTTGACGGCGCGACAAGTGTCGTTAGCTTGACACTGCTCTAAACAATCAGTCAACATAAGTGTACCGGGGATGTCGTCGAGAATATGTGATGGCGCGGAGAACACATATCTAAACAGAAATGGTTTAATAAGCTGATGTTTCTATTTTGTTGAATTTTTATCTCATTTATCCTATCGAATACTCACCCAGTGACCAGTTCGAATCCAATTTTCTCCGGATCGCATTCTTCGAGGGAATTGGCGGGTGCCGAGGGAGCAGAAATTCCACTAGGCGCTGACGGAGGAACTCCACCTGATGCGGTTTCAGGAGCGGACGCTGGTGGCTCGATATCTTGTTCTTGTTCTTTTTCTTTTTCTTCTTCTATTTCTTCAGCATTCTTCACGGTTTCAGGAGGTGGTGCGCCAGGGTTAGTGTATTCTTGAGGTGCAGCAACGATAGCAGGTTCGGGTGCTCCCGACTCAACAGCTAGGTTGTCTTGAGGAGGGGCATCGGCTGCTGACCTCAAAGTTCCTTCGAACCTTTTGGCTGCATCGACAGCACAAATCACCACAATTAAACTAAATAATAACCGCATTTTCCGAAGAGTTGTGACAACGATCTGTAACAAAAAATACATATACATATATTTTTCTATTTGTAAGAAAATATGGAAACTCTTTTAATCATAGTCCTCTCAACATTCTCACGGTTATAAGAAGCTTGAGATTATTATCTACAGGCGTTAACTTAATAATTAAGTTTCATTATAGTATACGTAACAGCGATATTGCATTTAAATACAACAATGATACCAAATAAAGCGGTTCGAGTTGCATTCTATAATTAAGAATTTTAATAGTAAAATATCAAATTATACGAAGTAAATTATAAAAATACGCGTTTTCATCCCAGTAACGTAATTAAATTCATGCGACGTTTAACCCAAATATGATCTGGGTATTAAAGCGGCTATTCGAATTGAAAGTGGTATTAGTAAACCAATTGTTAGAGCAATGACCTCATCAAAATGTATTTATAAAAACAGCTAGCAATCAAATCGTATTAGTTTCTAAATAGTTTTTTATCGCTCCCACCAACAATATACCAGTAGATGGTAGCATTACGTTACGCTCACGTTTCTTATACAATGTCGGTAACGGTCCTGTCTCTTGGCGTTGTCCACTTCTTAGTCAACGGTATAAGTTATACCAATTTTATTGTAAAAATATATACGCTTGACATCATACAACAAATTGTATATTGTTAACTCTGAACGACTACTGTCCAAAACTTTTATGTTTTTTACTACATTGTAATATAACTATCGGTTTATTGTGTTTTTAATAGGTTGTTGAATGCGGTATCTTAAAAGGTCAAGTATCAAAGTCATCACTGGAAATGTAAAATTACAGAATCAAAAAATAGTAAAAATGTGATGTGACACAAAGGGAACGTCAAAATCATAAAAGACTTAACGATTGATGATTGATCATTGATACAAGATATTTTTTTTTATATTACAAAATTATCCACTCTACTTATTTTTTTGTTACAACGAACTCAGAATTTTTAATTTTCTCATAACAAAATTCATTTACAGTCATGTGACTTACCTTACTAGGGAAATAAGTCATCTTGTCGGTGTTTAGAAAATAATATACCTTAACCAAAGCAAATAAAATAAGCCGTTAACGTGAATAGCGTAAAATAACAGGAGTAGAGGCATTAAGTCCAGCTACGGATGCCTATCAAATTCCCCCGTGCTTCGGGCCGTCTCTGACCCCACGTAAACCGATAAGAAATCTTAAACACAACTTAACACCGATAAAAACACGAAAAAAATTACTAGTTAGGCCTGTTATTTACCTATTGTGTGATAAAACTAAAATATGGTCATACTTAAAAATAATGTTCACGTTCGAAAACGTGCTTACAAGACCCTTCATGAAGTTATCTTAACCTGTAACCCACTGTCCTAAATCGATAATAACCGTGAGTAAGCCTTCGCTGAGATGTAGACTGTCACACGAGCGCTTGTTTATTATTTAGTACTTCACGTTAAACATAAATTATCAACTAATTACTTTTGCAAAATAAAATATTTGTAACTAGTCGTAAATAAAAATAGCTATGACGATTTTAAGTAATGATACATTTTAAGAATATTTTATTGAGGTACTTAAAAAGCAGTATCCATGGAACTATTGTATTCCCATGTTAGATATCACTTGCTGTAAATGTGTTCAGTTAGCCTCTAGCTATGATCAGATGGGGTCAGCGCATTCAATGAGCCGGATGCCTTCAACCTGCTAGTTATGTTTCACCATACTTGTTGTGGCACACTATGGATGTCTCCGATTTCTCGTACCTAGATTCTGATACATATATTGGAAATAACTAATAAAATAATATTACAAAAAAAATCCATAAAATACTAAAATCCTATAAAACTAAGTATTATAATCCGTACTAGGCAATACAGTATATAGTACCCGTTTATGCTTATTCTAAGTGACTTTTACGTGTTAGTTGTCGGGCGATTGAAATAAATTGACGCCTGCTGTCACAATACAGCCAAACGGCTTAATTCTCATGATAAACTATTAGGCGCGTCTAAATTCAACCATTAGCATTGACAGTAGTTACGAGTATTCTCTACGTATTTACATTGAATGAAATTGTAATTTGTTATGTCGGTCTTTAATAGGGTGTAGTGTTTTCCTTATGTGTTGACATGACGGGATTGTGCCTTTACACCCGTAGAAGGAAGCTATGGGTCGGCTCTTAGGCGTCAATGTCGCTCATTGTCTTATGCCTATATTTGCTGAATAAAGGTACACAAACTTAGAGAAGCCATGTAAATTATATTAAATGTGACTTATACATCCTTTGCATGACGTAAACATTGCGACGAGCTTACCGTTACAAACTTTATTTCAAGTAGGTGAACAAAGTGTCTCCATTAATAAGCAACATGCATATTATTTATTTATTTATTTCAAATTATAAATGATTTTACACCTTGTAAACTTTATCTGTATAAACATGCGAAAGTTGTGACGAACTTAATAAACTGTAGTTGGTGAATAACTGTTATTTCTCAGCCTACATATGATGTGTTTTAAATGGAATATAAAATATTTATAAATAACATAGAATGATCAGGAATCTTTAATATTAACATCAAACTATACATTCCAGTTCAGAATCGCGTATTATGTGATAAAATTTTATGTTTATTTTAATTTGCAATATACATGTATGAGATTTCTCCGATTCTAACCAAGGTCAGTAGGTCGGACATAGACATGTCTTCGTAAAGATTTGCATTATTAAACCATCTGTAATTTCTATTTATATGACCATCCAATTAAGATTTCTACTTAACCTTAACTGATTGTAATAAATTAAAGTTCAATTGTAATTAGCTATTATTATTTAATTTCAAATACGTTTCGAAGGTCAATTAAGATGATTTGTTCGATATATGCTGCTGACCACTAAATTACCAAACAAAAATAATCAGTACCATAATAAAACCATTATTAACTCACAATGGAAAGCTGTAATCTCAAATTACCAACACATCGAACTGTCTAGTTTTCACCGTGATTAATCATGCTTACTCAATGAAGGCTCGGTAACTAAATCCTATAATCTCGTAGTATTGTTCACAGCGTTAGTCTCTTAGGAACTAGGTTTTAGGTGCACCTAGTATCCGTCTTGAGACGCTTTCGATCTTCACCTAGCCGCCTATTTTTCTAACTATATAATGAAGAGTAAGTGTCCGACATTACTGATGCCACAAGTAATTTCAAAGTCGAGACGAATGCGTTGTTTTTATTTCTATATGCCAGGTTAGTAACGCTAAAGGTATGGTTTCTGTGCTCTCTCAAGCAGAGACAATAAGTTATGTGTGTATTTCAACAATTTTTTTTATTTTTAATAATGGTTTTTTATTTAAAATGTAGCTATGTTATGTTATGCTTGCCACTAGTACGTTTATTTTCTTGATAGATTTCAAATGATAATTATACCATAAATTCTTTAAACATAGTGTTTGTATACTTTAACCACTTCTGAATAATAGTTTTAGGAAATTATCAAAACTTCTAACGTTATATTAATATAAATGTAATTATAAAAACGCAATAACTATGAACAGTTGACTTGATTCACAAGTCACTGACACTGCACCCTTATTGCTCGTTACTACTGCTTTGTGGTCGCCTAGTGCTTTATTGGCCGCTACAAGGCAATTTGTTTCTATTTCAGTCCACATAGCTTATTGTGGTGTCGTCTATAATTACATTTTTCTGTTTTATACTTGATTAGTTTTCTAGATTGTCTTATAAGTTTTACCATATTGCCAGCGGCTTCTATCGCCCATTAGTTTATTATTAAGCTCATTCCAATTTATATATTTATAGAGGAAAAAAAGTCGACTTTGTTCTAGTGAAGCAGTTCGTTGTCGTTTATAATATTTAACATTCAATAAAATTTACGAATATATAATAAGTCAGTATATAAAAAGACAGAAGCAGCATCATAAGTAAAAAAGTTTATGAAGTTTCTTAATTTTTAATCATGTCAATAACGTGCGTAGCTATGTACCTACATTGTAAGACTTTAATCATCATTAAATGGCTACTTGGCTTCCTAATTACGGCTTAGCGCACTCACTTATTAATAACTATCAACAACATATATAATCATAATATTATTATAGAATGTTTTTTATTAAATATTTTTCGCTGTTAGAATCATATCACGATGTCACAACCATACAAGGATTTCAAATTCTAATTAATTATTAGGCGTGAATTTCTTATCTATATAATATATATCTATTATAATTACATATCATAACTAATATAATATTAATGATAAACATTGCCTCCGGTTTGTTGAATAATAACTTTGTTTTCATTCATTTATTACAATTACCTGGTAATAGCCCTAAGCCGTAACATTATCCATTGAAATCGATAAAGCAGAGTCAAAAAGCGGCCTCTTTGAAACAACGTGCGAGTCAGTAAAACAATTAATTTGATTGACATTCCACGCTGCATCACCTGAGGGTGCAGTCGAGATATAAAATAGCTTTGTTTATAAATTAAATATAGCACCTTTCACAAATAAAGCAATAAAGACTAAGCAATAGGCCGCAGTAAAGAAGATTCCGCGCCGGTGGCAAACATACCATGCCTCAGTCCAGTAAAGATAAGCGAAATCAATCATCACATAATCTTAGCGAATTTCATTTGTGTAGTTAATAATTGTTGTATAATAAATTAAATGTGCTTTTTATTTAAGTACCTTACTTGTGTATTACACTTTAACACATTGTCAAATTTGCGTTAGACAAAGTCACAATCCATAAGACGGGCGGTCGCCTTTTGTAGCTTTGGTCGTGCTGTAACGGCATAGTCAATCATCTGTAATTTGATTTCTATGCTCAATTATTGCATTTGCGAGGGTCGGACGTTGCGAATATGTATTATGTTTACACATACTCATTCGTTATCTTAGGTTTTTGTTTCTGTAATTTGCACTTCTATATCTTAGTGTATGTATATGTTTTTGTTAGTATTA